GTTGGACACAGATTCATTTAGGCCCCTTTACTCTGATATCCTAAATGGAATCTCATAATTTGCAATGTTGTGCTTTTAGTCATACAAAGTTCAAATATGGTTAAATATGGGGGACGGTTGGGCGATCCTGCTGCTTTACAATCAAGTATAGCAAAAATAGTGACATTTTTGTTTCTGTCTGTGGCTCTTGTTTCTCACACTGCATATAGCTATCTAACCCCCAGAGTCATGAGCTAAAACGTTATTTTTTTAAGCACAGAATGCGTCTAACCTTGTATGGGTTGTTAACAGAAGTGAACCAGTGGAAACAATGAACGTTGTCTAGCTAGCCAACTGGAAATAAATTTGCGCTTACCCACATTAGACGCAAAAAAAAAAAAAAAAAAAACTAGCTAGATAGCTAGAAAGAGTATATTAGCAGCAGGCTAGCGGCAGCTGCGTGCGACTCAAACTTTTGCCTGACAGAAAAGTACCGCAAGAAAAAAAAACCTACATATACAAGACTATAGCAAGGACTATAAGGACTATAGCAAGTCCTTAAGACCTGTGTGTGGACATGCTGTAGGTCAGGTTGCTTTTATCCTGAATAACAGAAAAATTAGCTTTTCTCTGTCTTTCATCATTTTCCTCCTGGCTAACCACAGCAAACCTCATGTCTTTTTTTTTTTTCAGCTTTATAAGTCATAGTGTAACCAGCAGCAGGATGTTTTAACACAGCTAGGCTTTGTTCCTACTGTTCCCCTCTCCTTACTGTGGGACCTGAACAGCCAGTGCTGGACAGAGACTTTATCTCACACCCAAAAGTGTGAGAGCTGTGAACCTGATTCAAAACAAAGATGATAATTGTCATGACAGAGACTCATTCAGTCTTCATCTCCATCTGTGTGTGTGTATGTGTGTGTGTGTGTCTCAGAGCAGGTCCTGGTGCCCTGTCCCTCTCCCTCCCTCTTGCCCCGCTGCCGTCCCTGTAGAGCGGCTCATGCATGGATACAATGTGCTCCTCTGTGCTCTTTGAAGGCCGGCATTACCGTTCACACGCAATCCCCACCAAACACTGATACGCTTCTGTCTCAATCCGCTTCTTCAAGCCGCTGTTTATTTCCCCTCCCCAAATAAACTTTTAGTTTTATTTCGCCCTGCTTATGACAGCGCACTGGAATGGCATATTTGTTGTTAAAATGAACACACCTTTTTCTTTTTTTTTTTTAAATAAATTTTTTAAAATAAATCTATGGTGTTCCTTAAAAATGTCAAATGAAAAAATAACGAACGAATGACAGACCTAAGCCTACAGACACAAAGCAAGTGTTTAGAAGGACTAAGCTGCTAAATAACCTTTTTTTAATTTTTGTTTTAGGTCATTTGAACACAATGGAAATCAAAGTATGGGATATTTAATTTTTTAAGTAAGCATCAAGCTGTTTTCATTTATTTAATTATGCTCATCATTAAAGTTTTAACGTGTCCTAAATGAGTTCAGATGTAAAATATCAGCAGAATGAGACTCTTAACTCTCTTTGTTCCTTTTTTCTTTCTTTGTTTCTTCCTTTCTGTAAATCTTTTTTTATTTATTTTGTTCTTTAGGAGCATAAATTTACGGCATGGAATCTTTTTTTGTAATGTGCAGTAAGCTACAAATATTTGTTTTAAACAACAAATTAAAAAAAACGGAAAACGTGAAAAAATTTAGTTAAATTATTGACTTGGTAGCCTTGGATGTTCGGTGAGTAGGTAGTTGTCAGAATATATTTCCACTTTATGTGAAAAAATTTTTGGACAAAATTATTCCACTGTGAGAATAAACTACATAAAACAAGAACAAAATAAGAATAGAAAATAATATTTTTATATATATATGTATCTATGCAAGCTTCAGTATATGCAAAACATCTACCCAGGAAATTTGAATCTTTTGTTTTTGCAGAATTTTAAATACATTTTCATTCCACCTGCTTTGCATGAAAAAACAGCAATCGACCAAAAGAAAAACATACACTTTTAAAAGTCTGTAATCGTTTCTGGTATCAATGCCATTTTTTCCTCAATAGCCACCATTTATCTGTTTCTTTGTGGCAGCGATTCTAATTTTTATTCATTTATTTATTTATTTTTACTGAAAACTATTGCACATATTGGCCAAATACGCTGCTTTTGCCTCTTAACGCGTCGCTAACAGAAATATGAAAATAAAACATAAAAACAAACTAAACAGAGAGATTAAAAATAATTTAAATGCCATTTAATTTTGTCCATAGCAGTCCAGCACGGTGCCAGCATCCTTTTTTTTTTTTAAATGAGTTATTAATAGGTTTGCTTTTGCTCTTTACTTCCTCGTCTCCGTCTGCAGATGGTCGCGTAGTCAGGCGAAAATAATCCCCATCAGACAGTTATGTAATAAATGTGACAGGCCTTACAGTAAGGCCTCGCTGTCCTCTGTCTGACTGTATGTGAACAGACTCTGAGAGCTTTTCGTCAACATGCTCGCCTGCCTTTCACTGCCACCTTGCACATTTGTTTTTTGTTTTTTTTTGTGCTGCATTTTTTGACCTGTGCTGTTTGTTTTGCCCCGCGGTGCGAACCGGTCCCTAATGCTGTCGCCAGACAGAGCAAAGGAGCAGACCACACACACACACACACACACACACACACATGCCGCGCATGACAGGACGGTTTTAGTCGGCGTGCAAGCATTTTATAAAAAAAAAAAAATGATAGGAAGCAAATGAAACGCTCCTTCTTTTTCTTTTCTTTTCTTTTTTTCTTTCCCTGTCTTTTTCATTTGCTCCCTTCTTCCTTCCTTTCCTCGCTCTCTTCCTCTGCTCGCTTCAACAGATCGTTTTCATAACCACTTTTCTGAGGTCACAGCTTCGTCTGCAGTAGTCACGCAACCCTTTGCCTGCTCAGTCAGCTTTACACATACACACACACACACACACACACACACACACACACACACACACACACACACTTTACCACAGCAATACTACGCCGCACTACAGAACAGCCAGTCTTAAAGAGACAGCGAGCGTCTTTCTCCCAGCCTGCACAGCATGTTGCAGCCTCTGCTCTTTAAGGGTCAGAGGGTCTATTTTTGGCTCCTGGAGCTCGGAGCGCTGACACATGGGTAACCTGTGTCTAGATGCGAGGAGCATTTATATTTAAATTCTTTGACTGGATCAGAATTTTACAATTTAATCTTTAAAATACAAGAAATTGTTTTCCCCCCCCCTAATGTGTACAAATAAAAACAAAATGTTGTTGTTGCAGCATTCTTTTTTGTGCTTGTGTGTTTCTGGGGTGGTGATGAAGACTGAGAAGGCAAAGCCATGTGTCCTCCTGCCTTGATCAGGAAGTGTCCAGTTGCTGCTCCCACCCTTTCATCACCTGAGGCCCCCGAGGGGGAAACTACAGTAACTGGGTTTGACAGTGGGGCCAGATGAGGAGGAAATGAGCAAATGGTGGGCAGGAAGAAAGTAGAAGTCGCTGATTATGAATGAACTTAAGGGGCCATACAAACAAAGGGATTATTCATATTACCGCTGACGGAAAGCGAAACCTTTGCACAAGTATGCAGCTACTCTGGCATAAAGGAACACCAGATGCAGTCGTGGTAGATAGAAATTTAATTTTATTTAAATGCTGGCGTTTTATATGTCTTGTATTGTTTTTCCCAGAAACATAAAAATTTTGGTGTCATGTTTTGTTGAAAAAAAAAAAAAAATGGTAGAAATCGTTGACTAAGTATTTTTACACTTGAATAATAATTTGTTTTAAAAAAACAAATTTTTAATCTGGAAAATAATTTTAAACTTATTTAAAGATTATCTTAAAAAAACTAAACGTTCCATAAAAGAAAACTAGACTTTTCTTTTATGGAACCAGTTTTAAGCTAAGCTAATTCTTGCACTTTTTTGTTCAAATTAGTCAAATATTAAAGCTGACATTCATTGTGTTTTGCATTCATTTAGCATCTTAAATTAGACTTTTACATGTTTCTGAACTACAACGGAAGCTACATACTTCTTTAACCCCTATTTTATTCTATATCTAAGTTAGCTGGTTGACAAGCTAGCAAGTGTTAGCCTGTAGCTTTGCGAAAACATGAGCAAAAATGTCCTTATGTTTGATTAAAAATACCCACTAAAAATGTTGTGCTGATAGCTAAAAGATTCCATATCCGGTTACAGTTTATAACCAGCTTAGAATTTATTAAAGTACGGCATCAAGATGAGGAAGGCTGCACAGAAAGAAGTGGAGCATCTTCCCCATCTGTTGATGCACACTGCTAGCTAGCTGAAAATTTGACTGTTTGGATATAATTTCAGTTGTGGAAAATAAAAAAAAACACTATAAAAACCAAAAATGGCTAGAAGATTTCATATCCTGGCCAATAAGCTCTTGAAAATCACCAATAAATCTAGTGGCTGTTTATTCTTTTTTTTTTTTTTTTTTCCTGTGCATCAAATTGACTAGAAATATTTGTTATGGATGATATTATTAGAGATATTTTTGAAGCTGTAAGAATGACTGTTGCTTTTCTATCTTAAAAGAAAGTAATTTGAATTTCTTTGTATGAAATTAATGCCGATATTATGATGGCATAAAACTATTTTAACACAAAGCTATCACAACATAGGGATGCTCAACACCCAATGGTTTAAAATTTAAATTGGTTTAAACCTTCAATTATCAATTATAAATTTAAACCAATTGTTTAAATTTATAATTTAAACCATTGGTTAAAATTGTAAATTTTAACCAATGGTAACAACCCCTCACAGAGGGTGTGAGCGGTTGTTACCCACTCACACCCTCTTTAATTTTTATATTATCTCTAATTTGAAAAATATTTAAATATATTTATTCAATGATGCCTTAAATGACACAAAAGGCTTTTTTTGGAAAACTCTATGAGCATCTTCCCTATGACTTCTTCTAAAAAACACACTTGAAACATCCCTTAATTGTATTAATGATCAAATTTAAATAAGATGAAGAAAAAAAATCCCCACACGATTATGTCGCTCTTCCCACTGCCACCATTTTTTTCATTGAGCAAATCCAAACGACATTAAATAAACCAAAAGCTCTAAGCCGTCCAGTTGTCTAAAAGCTAGGATTGGTTTGGTCTGGTTTGAGCATGTCGCTTATGTTTATTGTATTTCATGTTAATCTTCGTTTTACTTTAAATCGACTATTAAAGGTCCCCTGAGGGACGGGTGTTCCAAACTAGTCACGGCTATAAACTAGCAAAAAAGTGAACAATAAAAAACATACGAGATTCGAATGTTGCTACCCGCTCACACCCTCTGTAATCAAAGCAGACTTTATTGTTATTTACCCAAAACATAGTGGACAATAAGTCCTCACCAGATAGAATAAGTTGTTCCAGCTCATCAAATTGTGATGTTTGTTTTTTGTTTTGTTTTTGTCACGACACCAGCAGCGAGCGAGTGGAACGCTCTGAATATGGCCTGGAAATCGACAGGGAGTTTGGCCAGGAGACGGGTTGCATGAGAAGAGGAGCGGCTTGAAGTAGCAGGGAGGAGAGGAGCTTGCCAAAACTGAAGGCTTAGGCCTGAAGGCTTTTGGCAGGTGTTTTGTCTCTGCTATCCATCCAGCTGCTGACTACAAACATGGGAGGCGTTTCAAGAAAATCTATTAGCTGTTTGGACAGGCTGTAATCTGAGTGATCTTCTGCTTTGCTGCTTGTACTCATCTCTGCAGGCTGACTGCTAATTAATTTTTTACAAGACTACATTTTATGAAATAGTGAAAAAAAAGAGAAGAAAAGACAATGACGTGTCTGTGAAAACCTAAAATTAAACTTTAGAGCCTCTGCTGTAACCTGCAATAATAAGTTGTGAATTACAACTTGTATATATGTTTTTTTCTCTTTTTTTTTTCAATGATTAGCAGGGGTGTAATAAGATTTTGAACGAAATTACCCAACATAGTTGCTCCTCAATATTCCTCATTTAAGCCTTACAAACAACTGTCTGTTTGCTCTCAGATATGAAGAGGACTTCTTTGAGATTTACACCTTGAATGTGTTTACGTGGGTCTCATTTTTAAGTAAGACAGGAAGTAGTTCTTGAGTTGACCTGTTGTGCTGACAGAGTTGACTACAGAAGGCTGCCTTCTGGTCTAGCTAGCAACATTCGGTTGCAAATGTGTTGAAGAAGCTTACATTACCTTTTGAGTAGTTTGTCTGCCAGCACAGAGACAGAAACTATAAAAATATTGTGACTAGCTGTAACCTGCTAATGACGCTAATGATGCTAATGTCGGGATGTGCTGCGGAGCTTCCTGTTGCCATCAAACGTGAGTCTGAAACCATGTTTACATATGTTTTCTCGAGGATTCAGTAATTATAATCTGTTTATGGATTTAAACAATGTAGCTATGCTAACTGTGACATCATAATATTGACCCCTCTCCAGCTAAATGTGGGTTGTTTCGTGGCAAAATAACTTTTTTCCCGTTATACTAGAAGCATCATTCGTTACAAAAACACTTTTAGCTTGTCAAAATAAAAATCCCTTCCTATTCTGTTCATTTAAAAATTCAACTTTCTAGCTAACTCACCACCCTCAAAATGGTTTACAAACATTTAACAAAAAACAAAAATGGCACTTTGACGCATTCAGTCATTCATTATTAACGTGTTTATTTCTTTATATTATTTTTCCATAAACATTATTGCAAATTTGTCCTAAGTCAAAAGGGCACGATGGAGGACTGAGGTAAATAACACATTTTATCATTTTTTTAAGTAATTTAAATCAGCTCTTATTTTTTTTTTTTTTTTTTTTTTTTTTTTGCACAATTGAAGGGAAATTGTTGAATGCATTTCTAATCCATGTGAATGTAGTGGTGTAAGCAGATTAGAAGGATGAAAATATTTTTCAGACTTGAGTTGGCCTTGAGATGAAGGATTTATGCGCATCTCTGCTTATTGTTAATGCTAAAGTAAAGGATCTGAAATACTTTCATTGCTCAAAATGGAAACGGATGCTGAACCGAGATTCACTAAAGCACAATTTGAGATTCATGAAATCTTTTTTATTAACTATTCTGTTCATGAAAACACAAAAAAACTTAGCATTTCAGCACTTTGAATTAGGAAACAATATCTACAATATCTCTATTTCTAGATTATGTATCTGCTAAAATTGTGATTCTTAGTTGCTAAAAGTATTATTGTAACTTTGTCTGATTTCGTTCTAATCGTGTATCGTCTCATCTCGTGAGCGGGATACATAGTTGCATCTCCGTTGATTAGCAGATAAAAATGCGTGCAGTCTTTCTTCAGACAACTCGTAGCTTCTGGAAAATCAGCAGCATAATTAACCATCTACCTCAACAGCCTCAGTGCCATCAGCAATCACATGGCTCTTCCAATTAGGTCAAGCCCAAGCCTTTTCTACATGAATTGGCCCATCTGACATTTTTATAACAATGTTGATCCAACAGTAGTTGGATGGGGAATTGGTGTTGTGATGGTCCAATGAATTATGCAAGCCTGTTTTTGTTTTTTTTTGTCCTTCCTTTCTCCCTGCTTTTATTTCAGACAACTTCTGTTTAGCTCACAACCCCCATTGACCTTTTTAAAGCACGGCACTCTGTTCAAATTATTCATGGTGTTAAGGCTGCCGCGACATGTTGACCTCAATTCAGAGTCTTCCTTGTGCTGCGTATCTTCCAATCAAAGGCATTTCTCAAAACTAGTCGAGAGTTGAGCAAAGCGAGGAAAAAAAAAAAAGGAAAAGGAAAGCTCCGGCGTCAGTGGCTAAAATAGAAATAAAGTAAACAGAGCAAGTCAAAAGTGGAGAGTGGGAAGCAAGCTGGAGCAGCAACAGACGCGGTCAGGCTGAGGTTGCCCGACAATTGACTCTTAAGGTGTGGCGGCTTCTCCAAGAGAAATGGGATTGAGGGATTGAGGGAGATTAACGAGCTCGGGGATAGCAAAACAAAACCAAAGAGAGGGCAGCCATAACTTGTGGTAAATATTAGTCTTTCCTCCATCTTTTAAACTTCTGCTTCTCAAATCATGACTTCATCAATTAGATACATGAGCTTACATTTTTTGTGTTTGTTGGATTTCCTAAGATTAGGAATTTTTGCAAAAGTTGCACATAGACAAGTGTAGCAATTGTGAGCCACATTAAGGTCTTTGAAGTTGTTTTCCATTGAAGCTGCAGTATGTAACTTTTATTAAAATATTTTTTTAACTTATTTATTGAAACCATCACTATTTTGTGACAGAATGGTATAAGATAGATAATGAGTGAAAAAGATTGAAAGAAATTCTCCTAGTGCTATCTGGAAGCAACCACTGTTACGCTGCAGCTAGCATAGCCTGTCGTTAATGCTCAGACTAGTTAGCATAGCCACCGATGACGACAGATATTGGTTTCCTGCAACTGTAAATTGTTTCTCCACCATTAGCACATTTAGAAGTGAGTACATGAGGATGATTGACAGCGCTAAGCCCCTCCTCCTTGACAGGGCTAAGCCCCTCCTCCTGGCTCTGATTGGTTGATTTTGTTTGGTGCATTTCTGCAGACGCAGTATTAGCTCAGTTTATTTGTCTTACACAGTTACGACATAGTGACAAATATGTAAAAAAATAAATACTGCACTTTTAAAGATGAATAATAACTCATTAAAAATGTAAACGAGTGTGCTATAGATGTGTTGTAAAGATGATAAGGCATTCCAAAGGAATCCACCATCGACATCGGCTCAAGATAGAACGGCAATCAGTATCTGCGGCCCACGAGGATTTCTAAAAGCACCACCGCGTCGTCATGCCTGAGACATGTGAGCGGCCGCAGCGCCTTCGCCCCTTAACTCGTTTAGGGACACGTTGAGGTAATTTTCCCCCCGGTTTACGCAACATTGCGTGACAAGAGGATGGGTATCTTGTGGATCCAATTGCCCTCTGCGAGGGCGGGTAGTGCCTCCATGAATGTGGCCTTTGAATGGCGATGGGCTAGTAGACAATCTATACTTTACTGTATGTGGGAAATGGCCCTGATGTGACTTCAAAGGCCACAAAGATGTTATTATGCCACCTCTCTCCCCCCCTCAAGCCTTTCTGCTTCTGAGTCACAAGGAGGGAGTCTCCTCTGATCTGTTGTTTTCCCTCTATGTTACACATGGGATGCTTGGTTCAGATTCCTGTTTTTACTTTGGTTGGTCAATCTCTCTCCAAGAGATAGAAATTGAATTAAACCTCTCTTGGTCAGAGTGCTTTTATTCTATTGAGCAAAAATATTGTTAAAAATACTGGGCATCAAAAGAATGTGGTTTATAGGGTGTTTGATGGAGGATTTGCCTTTTAAAAATGTTGGTTTTTAAAGGTAAATAAAGACAATTTGAAGGGACGGAATAGAATATATAAGGTATATAGGTATTATAAATGAGGATAGCCAATCGTAAATATGTTCAAATCTTCCATATAATTTAATTTCAAGGTACGTTATAAAACTTTTCTTTTACGTCCTATTCCCATTGGTTCTGATCCCTGCTTTGGTCAGCTGATCCTCATGAGATGTAAAAGGTTGGTTATTCCCTGGTAGTATCTGTTATTTATTGGAGAAACATAATCACATTTTATCAGACTATTAGTAGGTTATAGAAAATCACTTCAATTCAGCGCCAATTCACAACAAATGCACCTTACAAAAAAAAACATGTCAATTCGGTCCATAAAATTCGTCTAGAAAGATTGCAAGTCAATTATATATGCTGCAAATTGATCTTTTAATAATTAAAATACCTGGCAAAGCAAAATCAAAACTTGTCCAAAGTTTGTACAAAATAATGAACAGTATGTACATGTGTAAACAGGTTAGTTTTGCTGAAAAATGTTCTTTGTTGCAAATTACCTCAAGGCCAAACATTCTTAGTTGGATTTAGGTCTGGACTTTGACTAGGCCATTCTCACCCATGAATATATTTTGATCTAAATCATGTTGTTGCACTCCTCCTACACTGCTTTCAGTATTAGATGAATCCTAAAAGCAGGTGGTTGCAATGCGTTTTATTTTGGGGGCGTCAGGGTAAATGGGGCGAGGCTCACTTTACATATTATTATTATTTTTTAACAATACCAGGTTTTCACAGCCACATACTTCCACCGCATACTTAAGCATTACTTTCTGTTCGTTTATGATTTAAAATACGTGTGGTTTGTGGTTGCGTTTGCGACTAAATGTCGCAAACGCAACATTTAGTTGCTCAAGGAGCGTTAATACATTTACAAGCCGCTTCTCAGCAGAAGTTTAGACAGATACTTGAAACTGAGAGAGAGGGAAAAAAAAATTATTATTATTATTATTTTTTTTTTTTATCAGATTATTGACGCTCCGGTATCATCGGTTCCATACGTAGTGTGGATGTGATCTCGCTTTGATTCTGCTGCTATATGTACCCCAGACACCGCAGGGCTGTCACATCAACACCTCACCTTGTCAAAACTTCTGCTGGGCCAAGTGGATGTTTGACGGCACAAAATGGGATAACACCTTGGCGCGACGGCGTCGACATGCTTAATTTGCCGAATGACGCCGGCGACATCCTGAGCAGAACTCGACGCGCGAAGCGAGTGTGGAAGGATGAGGCTGCGGTCCTTTTGTTCTCCTCCGTCATTAACTGACTGTTACATTGTTTTGACACCACTACTTGTTCGTTGCAAAAGCCCGAGGCGTGAGTATCTGCTTATAAGAGCAGCTAAGAATCTGCTTCAGAGAGAGAGAGAAAAAAAAAATTGTCATTGTGTGATACGATTATGATCGATCAATATTAGATGAAGAGATTTATTTCAAATTTCCCAACTAATCTTCCTGCACTCAGACTAATTGCTGAACATTAGAGCAACAACCACGACTACAAATTAGGAGTCATCTTTTATGTGTGTATGAAAAAAAAGGGAAAAAAAATGTAATATGACTTTAAGAGTGTTGTTTGAAAACAAACATGGGTACTACCAGTTCTACATCTGACAAACGACTCTGTATGAAAACAGGGATTAGGCTGTCAGTGCTCCGGCTGGATAAACCTGCGCAGCGCCGCGTGCGCGGAAGAACATGTGATGCATATTTAAAACATTTGCAATTTGATGATGAAAACAAATCCTGGCACATTAGCGCTGAGAATTTCACCCCTTCGCACGCAAAACTTCCAGCTGGGGAGGGCCTCAGTGTGGGCGTGCCTATATATATATATATATATATATATATATATATATATATATGTGTGTGTGTTTAAGTGTCGCCATGGGTGAAGCCCGCAGCTGTTTAAATTCAGTTCGTCTG